CAAGACGTCCAATCAAGGAAGGAGAAGAGGAGACTAGCCGAAGAGCAGCTCCCAAAGCAGACTTCAAAGGAGCCCAGGCCGGAGCCTAAGCGGAAAAAACCCCACAAATGGATCAGACCCGACGCACTGATCATTCGCCCGGCCGAGAAAGAGAAATACGCCGAGATCCTGCGTCGAATCAAGCAGTCCGTCCCTGATGAACAGGTACGTACGACCGTGGAGAAAATCCACAAGACCAATACCGGGGACATGATGATCACACTTTCGAGAAAGAGTGCTGATAGAGGGGAAGCCCTACAAAAGACCATCGCGGACATCCTTAAAGAGGAAGCCAAAGTGATATGCAAAGGGCCACAGGAGACTATCGAGATCCGAGACGTCAATGACGACACGACGAAGGCAGACATTCAAACTGCACTGAAAAAAGAAACCGGAGAAACCTGTGAAATACCTCTGGAGTCGATCAAGATCCGTAAAGCCTACACAGGTACTCAGACTACTACAGTGACGCTACCAGCGACAACTGCACAGAAGTTACTAGAAGGTAACAGCAAAGTGAGAATTGGTTGGGCCAGCTGTCGAATAAGAGCAACGAAGAGACCTGTCCAATGTTTCAAATGCTGGCACTTTGGGCACTTTGGATCCCAGTGCAAAAGCAAAGTCGATCGGTCTACACTTTGCATCAGCTGCGGACAAGAAGGGCACAAGATTGCTGATTGCGAAAATCCAGCCAAATGTGCATTATGTGCTGAGATTGAAAGTGCAGAGAATGTTGCCCACCATGCCGGTACCCATAAGTGCCCGGTATTTCAGAATGCACTCCAGAAGTTGACGAACAAACAAGCATGAGGATACTGCAGCTCAATCTCAACCATTGTGAGGCAGCGCATGACCTGCTCATGCAATCCGTGCGAGAACTAGAGCTAGACTTGGTACTGATAGCAGAGCCATATAAACACCTGAGTATCCAACCCTGGGAATCTGACAGCACATCCAAAGCTGTCATCTGGTCATGTGGCATGCTCCCTTTCCAAAATGCGGTCGACAACAGCAATGCCGGCTTTGTAGCAGTATCAGTAGAGGGCATTCGCTTCTATAGCTGTTACGCACCACCTAGCCTCTCTACTGTCGAATTCACCGCATTTCTGGATCGACTTACCGAGGACGCGAAGCATTACCACTCAGTGGCAATAGCTAGGGACTTCTACGCCTGGGCAGTAGACTGGGGAAGCAAGCATACAAACGCGCGAGGAAAGGAATTACTAGAAGCCTTTTCTACATTAGATGTAGTACTGCTCAACAGGGGTGACACACCAACCTACACGAAGGGAGACGCAAGTTCTAATGTAGATCTCACTTTCGTCAGTGGCAGCCTCACCAGAGGTAATATCAATTAGAAGGTGATGGATACCTACACAGCCAGCGACCACAACGCGATTCTCGGGGAAATATTAAACGCCCAGAGCCCGAGAAGACCTAAAGAGCAACTTAACACCATTGGCTGGAAGGTAAAAACTCTTGACCCAAGTGCATTGTTAGTAGCTCTCAATAGTGACCAGATTATCGCGGGCTGCGCAGAAGAGAAGACCAAGGACCTGATGAAAAGAGTGACCCAGGCGTGCGACGCCAGTATGTCTCGCAGACGTGGCATGAACACAAGACCTTCCGTTCACTGGTGGAACGACCACATCAGCGCCCTTCGTAAAGAGTGTCATCAAAAGAGAAGAATATCTCAGCGTGGCTACCGACGAACTAACTCTGTGGAACTGGTTGCAGAGTACAAAAAAGCCCGTCGATCCCTGAACAAAGCCATCAAAGATAGCAAAAAAAAATGCTGGAAGGAGCTCATCAACGAGGTGGACAGAGATCTGTGGGCTCGGCCGTATAAGGTGGTTATGACCCATCTTAAAAACAAGCTAATGCCATCACCCACGTGTCCTCAACTCCTACAGAAGATCGTCAACGCGTTGTTCCCCGGACAAAGCGAGTTTAACTACCGAGTAGCGCAGAATGAAATGGATGACATTCCATTTGTCACGGAGGAAGAACTGATGGAGGCTTGTAATCATGTAGGGAACAATAAAGCGCCGGGATTGGACGGGATCCCCAATATTGCCTTAAAAACAACTATAAAAGCAGTGCCATCATTGTTCCTGGACGTCTACGACACATGCCTCAAGGAAGGGATTTTCCCTCGGAAGTGGAAGCAGCAACGACTAGTACTACTTCCAAAAGGAAAAAAGCTACCAGAAGAACCGTCATCTTATCGACCACTTTGTATGTTAGACACGGCAGGTAAGATACTTGAGCGTATAATCCACCAAAGAATAGAAGCAGTTGTCGATCCACTCCTGGCAGACAACCAGCATGGTTTTCGGAAAGGACGATCAACCCTGGACGCAATTAACCTGGTTGTTGCAACGGCCAAGGAGGCAATCGAAGGGATCAGATGGAAGGGTGGAGCGAAGAAGTACTGCCTGGTGGCCACTCTGGACATCAAAAATGCCTTCAACTCCGCCAACTGGGACTGCATTATGCAAGCTCTGGAAGAGAAAAACGTTCCAGGATACCTACGTAGGATAGTGGCTAGCTACTTCACGGACAGAATCCTGAGATACGACACGAAGAATGGTCCAAAAGAGTACGATATTACCGGAGGCGTACTACAGGGTTCTGTTCTGGGTCCACTTCTGTGGAATGTCATGTATGATGGCCTGCTGAGACTGACTCTACCAAGAAGTGTGAAGCTTGTTGCATACGCAGACGATGTAGCTGTCGTAATCGTTGCGAAACACCTAGATGAGATAATCCACATGTTCAGTATCACCTTTGAGAAAGTTAACCGGTGGATGGATTCAATGAATCTACAACTGGCTAAACAGAAGACTGAGGCTGTGCTTATTTCCAGCAGAAAAGTGATAGAGACCATAAAACTGAAAGTCGGAGAACAAGAAATCACATCACAACCATATATCCGATATCTGGGAGTGATGCTTGATGCCCGACTCAACTTTAAGCAGCAAGTCGAACACGTGAGTGCAAAAGCATCAGCAGTGGTAGCTAGCTTAGCATGGCTGATACCAAACGTCGGAGGCCCAAAGCAGAGCAAAAAACTACTACTATCATCTGTAGTCACATCAGTGCTCACTTACAGAATATCTATCTGGGCGGACGCACTAGAAAAGCAAGAATCATGGAGAAAGGCTGGACCAGTATATCGTCTGAGTGCCCTAAGAGTAGCTTGCGCCTTCCGCACAATATCTGAGGAAGCAGTGTGCGTTATTTCCGGAACTCTACCTCTCAGAGTCCTAGCTGAAGAAAGACGGAACCTTTACCAACGAAAGCGGTCAACAACACGGAGCGCAGAAGAACTCAGAACGGAACAAAGACAGCACAGCATTGCACGATGGCAATCTCAGTGGGATGCCGCAGAGAAGGGTAGATGGACGCATCGTCTCATACCAAAGATCGACATTTGGCTGAACCGGAATCACGGTGAGGTCAACTACTACCTAACACAGATGTTGTCAGGACATGGCTGCTTTCGGGCTTATCTTCACCGCTTTAGGCATGACGACTAACCGGAGTGCCCGTCCTGCCCTGGAGCCACTGAAGATGCAGAGCACGTTTTTTTCGAGTGCTCGTGTTTCAATCAACAACGTGAGGAGCGGGAGAAGATCCTGAAGAAGACAATTCAACCAGAGTCAGTCGTAGAAGCAATGCTGTCTTCAGAAGCTGCCTGGAATGCAACAAACACTTTTGCCACAGAAGTGCTTACAGAGCTGCATTCCATCGAGAGAAAAAGAGCAAAAGACAGAATCTAGAAGGAAGATAACATCTTAGCCACTAGAAAGAAGAGCGGCAGCTAATTCCTTCCCCCGCGAAGAAATGCCTTACGGCGGTACCATGGGGGATCAGAGGATAGAAGAGAAAGGGGTTTAGGGTTTAGTGGGTAGGGGCGTCAGCGTCAAGTTTTAGTATGACGCTGCGTCGAGTCGCCACATATCCGGGCCAACATCTATGCCTAGAATCCGTAAAAAGGATTTCCCCCCCCCCCTAAAGGGAAAAACACACACACACACACACACACACACACACACACACACACACATACATACAGACACGGCGACGTCACCGCGAAAATAGTCAGGAAGGCGATCGACGTGGTTTTCTAAGTTTAAGAGCTGATTAGTTTTTGGGATTGATCGATAGAACCACCCCCCCCTAACCGGAAAACGAACACACACACACACACACACACACACACACACACACACACATACATACAGACACGGCGACGTCACCGCGAAAATAGTCAGGAAAGCTTCCTAGGACCTCAAAACGTCGAGATCTGATGAAAACTCGATTTTCGAAAATCGGGGTGAAAACAATCACATCCCGATTTTCGAAAATTTTCAATTTTCTTAACGGGAAGTTAAAAATTTATTTTATTTTCAAACATAGTTGAATTGTATTCATTATAATTATGTCACAAGATAATAAAAGAGTTTTTATTTTTTCAAAAGGATAATTCCTTACCATTATAATTGTGTGGTAACATAATTATATTTCGTGTATTTTTGTATCTCTCCCTACGCATAAGCATTTAATTTTACGGCAGTATATAAAATAATTATATTTTTATTATGTCAGTACATAAAAAAAATTCACTAAAAAAATTCTTTTTCAAATTAAAAATAAATTCCTTTTTTTTATGTTCTGCAAACATATTACCTAATTAAACAGTAAAACGGCGTGCCATAGATTTGCCTCTATATATTAGGGTGATCAAAAAAAAAAAAATTAGGAAAATGGTTGACCCTAAAGACCATCCCTCCAACTTCCCGCTAATTCCATACTCAAGCGCCCAAAATTGAAATAGAAAATATGTATTTTTTGATCATAAATAATCTTGATGTTCAATGTTAACATCAAGACAGGCATATTTATACATGAGATTTAAACATGATCTTGCATGCTAATTCTTTCTGATTTTAACTATGAATCGTCGTTATTGTTTAGATGTGTGACTGATCTAATTTGTAGAATTATTTTCAATTGATATTCTTATAAATCAAACTTCTCGATTTTCCTATAGGATTGGCCAATAACACAATTTCACGGGCCACCAGGGCCAAAAGGTGAACCAGCGGCTTGTACTTGTAATGTGACCGATTTAATGTCAACTTTTATAATGCCAAAAACGATCATCGGTGAAAAAGGTGAACCTGGGATTCCTGGAACAGAAGGAAAACAAGGACAAATGGGCCTGACGGTATTATTTTACGTTAAGCATATATTCAAATGTCTAAACATCTATGAAAACTACTCAAAAAATTTAGAAAAGGTAAAAGAGATTTTGCTAAATCTGGAAATAGTCGTAATCAAGCCCTTTTGACTGAGACACACAACAAGGGTATCTTGACTAGAAAAAAATTTCTAAGACAAAGGAAAAAATCATTTAAAATGTTTTTATCACAACTTCAAATTTTTCGTTATTAAACCAATTACATTTTTATAATTTGCTTATGTAACGGGTAGGTTAATTCTTTTTTCTACATTGAAAAAATTTGCACTTCTACTTGCTTTACACAAAGAATAATAAATTAGCAATGAAGCAGTGAACCCTACAGGTTATCCCTGGTAACGAGTATTTCATCTATCCGTTCAATAGCAGCCTTATTTATAAAATAGATGTTAATTATCAATACGATGAGATTATAATATGTTTAATTTTAAGAGCGCTACCAGGTTGTTATAACGGTATCCTGGAAACCGGAAAGAACATGAGAGATAATCTACAGGGTAGAGAGAAATAGGGAATTATCTGGAAATAACAAAATTAATAATTCGTGGTTACCAATTATTTATAGTACAATAATCACTCTCACACGCATACTATAAATTCCATTGCCAATTTTAACTAAAATAATTCCTTAATTAATAGCCCACAGAAATTAGTCAGTTTTAACTAGTTTGGCTGTGCCAACTGGAAATTAATCGAAATATTATAATTTCTTGAAATTCCGATACCAAGTAGGTTAATATGAAATTTTAACAAGTATATAATGGCGGTCTCAATTTGTTTATAAATAACAGGTAAACAAAAAAAACGTAAATTAAAAATTGAATATCTCGGAAGCTATTAATCTGGTAGGTTTTTTCACATAAAATTTGTAGAGCTTAAAAAAATCTACAACTTTGCTTTTGGGTAAATTCCCGTCAGACTGATAGTTTATTGGTTATTAACAATCAAAGTTTTATATACAAATTAAGCTAGTAAGTTGAAAAATCAACCGAGTTCATTTTTGCTTTTTTCCACATATTTCTGGTAATAAATGGAACATTTTTAACATTTTTCAAAATTTTTATCTCAAAAATTTGATTTTTAAAAATCAAAAAACCATTTTTTTTTTTAGAAGCCAATATCTCCGAAACTAAATTTACTACAGCACTCGTACCTATTCTCAAAAATTTAGAATTTAATTGCGAAAAACTTGGCTATTTTGAAAAAAATTAATTTTTGATTGGGGTTAAATAGTAGCGAGTTGAACGCGAGCGGATTTTCAATAAAGCGAGCGCGTTCGCTATCCAGACTGATGGTAGAGAAGGAACTCAGCAGTAGTGCTCAACTGATATCGGCTTGTTGTATTACAGCAAGCAGTTGTACCGTGCTTGGGGAGCTGATATCAGTTAAGCACTACTGTTAAGTTCCCTCTCTACTATCAGTCCGGGTAGTGAACGCACTCACTTTATCGAAAATCCGTTCGCGTTCAACTCGCTGTTATTTGACCCCAATCAAAAATTGATTTTTTTTCAAAATAGCCAAGTTTTTCGCAATTAAATTCTGGATTTTTAAGAATAGATACGAGTGCTGTAGTAAATTTCGTTTCGGAGATATTGGCGTCTAAAAAAAAAAGTGGTTTTTTGATTTTTAAAAATCAAATTTTTGAGATAAACATGTTCCTTTTATTACCAGAAATATGTGGAAAAAGCAAAAATGAAATCGGTTGATTTTTCAGCTTGCTAGCTCAATTTGTTTATAGAACTTCGATTGTTAATAACTAATAAACTATCAGTCTGACGGGAATTTACCCGAAAGTAAAGTTGTAGATTTTTTAAGCTCTACAAATTTTATGTAAAAACTTAACCCGCTAGATTAATAGTTTCAGAGATATTGAATTTTTAATTTACGTTTTCTTGTTTACCTGTTATTTATAAACAAATTGAGGCCGCGATTAGATACTTGTTAGAATTTTATATTAACTTACTTAGTATCGAAATTTCAAGAAATTATAATTTTTCGATCAATTTCCAGTTGGCACAGCCGATTTGGCTTATGTCTGTGGGCTATAATACCCGTGAAACAGAGGGGGAAAGCCATGCTTAATTCACGGGTATATAGACCACGTGACCTTCAGAATTCCCTTACCAATATTCCGTATTATCAATGACTAATTTTATTGTAAACTTCTGATATAGAGGGAAAACCGTGCCATTTACTAGAAGCTACTCGTCAACTCTCTCACTCTATTACCAAAAATCGGAAAACTTCTGATATAGAAGGGAAACCGTACCATTTGTCAGAAGTTTCTTGTCAATTATCTCACTCTCTATCACTCATAACCCAAACCGACTTATTAAATATAAAATAGAACTTATAAAATTATTCAACAGAACTAATAGAAATTAACAAATAATTATTTCTATCACAATAAATTTTAGCGACACTAGTAAACGTGACCTTGGGTTTCGGACATGCAGTTAAAACGTACTGCGAAGTAACAAAATTCACAACCGCTTCTTATAAAATTCCAAACCACGATTAATTAATTAAATTTTTCTTAACCGAGAACTATTAACAATTATTTCAATTAATTAACTAAAATTAAATTGTCTAAAATAACGCGTACCAAATTAAGTGGACGCGCGACTGGATAATTACCTGTTGTTTTTAACTGTGTCCGGAGTGTTCGGTGGCATAACCTTTTCTGAATTTCGCCGGTCGCTACTCGCTTGCACTCGGCTCCGGACGATCGTCCCTCTCTCCCCAGTACCTAAAATGCCCGAAGATCGAGACGCGCCAGTGCTGCGTCGAACAGTTATCCATATCCGGTAACACCTATTCAGGGTATATTTTACTCTATTACACTCTGCGTCTTTTCGCTAATTTTAAATGCAAAGCACTCCAAATTTCACCTTTTATGATGTTTTTGAACTCTTCTATTAGCTTGAACACATGGTCTTACAGCTATTTTGAGATCTCCAAGCTTCGTAATAGAACTAATATACGCTTTCGAGCTCACAAGTCTAGTTTGTATTCAGTAAAAACTTCCTCACTGTCCAAAGAAGACACCAAAGAAGGCAATAGCATCCACGCAAACGTCACTCTGGATGAATCCACAACATGAGGCTCTGACTATGTACTTTTAAGAACAGCAAACTAGCACCGCAGAAGATAAACAACAAGAAGAAAAGGTCCCTTTTTACGCCTAGTCCTTCATCAGCCTCTGACACACGAGCACTGAAAAAAACAGCCAAGGATGCTACTTGGACTGAGATGTCATGGAAGAAAAATTAGGGAGACAGTTGACCCTAAAGGCCATCCCTGCCACTTCCCGCTCATTTTGTACTTAAGCGCTCATAATTAAACATGATGATTAAATGATTTTCGAGCTCAAAACTCTAATAGCAGTTAAATAAAACACAATTTTTTTAATTTTCCGAAATAGACATAATTTTCGGGGGAAAACTGCATCCAATCAGGAAAAATATTATTTTTGTGTTGATTTGAGCTCTTCGAGCTCAAAACTCTAATAGCAGTTTAAAGACACAATTTTTTGAGTTATCAAACGGCAATAACTTTTAAATGAATCAACCGATTTTCAAGCGGTTGGCGGCATTCGACGCAATTTTTGAAACCCCATGAAGAATCTTCAAGTTTATATCGATCGAGCCAGGAATTTCGAAGTAATTCCAAAAAAACACTTTTTTCGGTTTTCTTTCGACAACGATAACTCACGAACGAATCAACCGATTTTGACCGGGTTTGCAGTTCAGAGGGTCAGTTACATACATACATACACACACACATACATACACACACACACACACACACACCTGCGGCAGAGGAGAAACTGCTACCAGGCGCGTCTCCCCGTAGCGGATGGGTTGACACTCGCTGTCCTTGGATGACACTTGGATAATCTCTCAGTTGATGAGGTACAGCGGGTAGGAGCCAAGCAAAATAACCAAACAAAATACGCTCCCGTGGACAAAACTCCTCTTTAATGGGTTGGTCACACTAACTAACCTAACAAGACGATCGGTCCCTGCTGTAACTCACCCGGAGTGTCCGGAACCTGTATCGTAGTTTCCGACCATGCAGG